GAACTCCACAATTCAAACCTGAGCTACACATATTTGCTTCTATTGGAGCTATAGCAATTGCAGATGTACCACTCAAGAACCTGGTGGCCATATACTATATTAGCTGCAGCTTCCTTATCAAGCACAATTATAGCTCCACGTACAACATATTACAATAATCTACATTACTCCACACTTGTACCTGGAAAACTAAGCTGTTCCTGCACGGGAATGTAGTTGGTCAATCAATAATAATAAATATAATAAATATTCTGAGTCACAAAGGTCACTTGGATTCCCAATGACAATTACGTCTCTAGGCCCAAGTGTGTTTGAATGTTATTTATGAGGAGTGCAAAACAATTTAGGCAGACTCCTCAATTCCTATACCCTGGAATTACCCACCTACAGGGTTTTCATTTTATCAGTCACCCATCAATGGATGCTTCTTACTAATTCTCTACCTGTAAGCATCTTCCAAGACTCTTTTACCCTTTGTATGGTTCCAAACATTATGTGAGGCTCAGTTACACCTACTCATGCTGAATAATTATTGTGGTAATTAACCAGCACCTCAGTTATATTTGCATCTAACTAAAAGTTTGTAAGAGATAAAGGCTAACCAAAGCAATTAAATACATCCCTAACTTTCCTTCTAATATCAGCAGTCCCCGGGTTAAGAACATCCGACTTACAGAAAACTCATACTTACAGACAGGCTGCCTATTACTAAAAATGGCAAATGGCATTCTCCTTCCTTGAGCTGATGAACTGCTGAAGCTGTGCAATGTTTTCATAAACCGCTGAAGCTGCGCTTTTTTAATATACAGCCTGTTTTCAGCAGTCCATGAAAACATTGCACGGCTTCAGTGGTTTGTCGGCTCAAGGAAGGAGAACGCTGCATCATTTTTAGTAATAGGCAGCCTGTTCATAAGTATGAGTTCCGACTTACATACAAATTCAAGTTAGGAATGGAACTCATTCTTAACTCAGTGATTGCTGTATCAAGATATAGAAGCAGTTAACTTTGACTGGGTTTTTTCCTTAGGTCAAACTATAATAATGTGAAGAAGACAGAAGCAAAATAAGCAAAGTGAAAAATGATTCTTCACAGAGATGAGTTATTTGTCTAATAAGTAGGATACTGTTTGCAGTCTATTTAGTAACGGGACGCTGATATTAATGATACACAGTTTCTTAGAATACATTCAAGCATTTGCTACAGAATGGAATTGGGCTTTCTGTATTCATACAGAGTTATGCTAGTTAGTCTGGTCTTTTGTTCAGCTTATTTCCTTAAAATGCTCACAAAATGTTACTTAAACAAATATCCCATCTGACTTGTTTTGGAATGCAAAGGATTCTGGACTTAATCAGTGGAAATGAACAGTTCCAACAGAGGCAACAGTAAATGTATCATGCTGCTATAATAAAGTATTTAACAACAGTGACTTTTAATGCTTTATTCATTGATTAAAAGAATATACATTTAACATAAACCATACAACATCAGTCATCAAGTCAAACACTCAGCTGGTTTCCTTACATTTTCTGTCAGGAGTTACTTTACTCTGATCACATTTATAAGATAAAATCTCACCACATCTGGCATATACACACACTGTGCCAGTGGATTCACTCTACTGATGTACATATAAAATCCGCATGGTATGTGCTCACTGGAGACAAAACAGCGCACACCTGTCAAAGGTCATTTTAATATAAGATGGTAAAACCATTTGTAAAACACATATAAACTTTTCCATAAATAGAATCATATCTGGACATCTGTTGCATAAATTGTGTTTTCCAAAGCTTACAATATGGCAGCCAGGTCTCAGCACTGCTGGGCACCCACGTTGGCCACTTACTTTATTATTGCAGACTGTCCTTAACGTTAAATGCACAACATTCGTACCACTTAAAACTTGGGTCAGGTGGAAGTCTCACAGAGACCACGTCTGTACCGCGGTTGCCCTGAAACAGTTTAAATCGGCTTTTAAAGCCTCTCAGATATAACAAGATTTTAAAACATACTTCATGGAATGTTCTTCATGCATCATAGCAGCTCATACCTGTGATAGAACAAGGTTTGTATCGGTTTCTTTTCCTTCCTTTACATTCACTATTCACAGTGAAACAGGTGCATGTTTAAGAGTTCTGAGGTTGCTGACTGAGCCACAGCACAGCTGTGTACCACAGGTCGAAATTCGACCTTATATATTACAATCTAGCAGTACCTGGCTGGCCAAAAACTGGCCTGCCCCTGCCAGCATGTGGGCACTTCTTCATTTTAATCTATTCTTTGGCAGCTGACACAGGCGCTGACAGAGAGAATCCAGTGACTTAGTTGCTAGGGATTTCACGACTAATGTTTGTTTGCAAGCAAAGTAGACTTATAAATTTATATCTAAATTGTTAGGGTTTTACCCCATTGGAGTGTATAATCTTAACATTTCTTTTCAAACCTGGGCCTGAAGCTAACTTGGACAGAGAAGCTGACAGACCACGAGAAAAAGAAGCTATAATTAATTTACAGTGAAACTACAGCTTATAGCCTTCAGAGTCAGATAAACTTCTGAATAAGCTACACAGTGCAAGAAACTATTGTTCATATTTAAGGAGGAGATTGCAGAATGGCAGTAATCCATGCTTCAGATATTGTATGTGAAATCAAAGCAAAGGTTTACAGCAAATGGTATTGATAGTCTTGATTTAAAGAAAAAAAAAAGCTTAAGTAGCATGCTACCAATTTACATGACAATGACCACATTCACTGGGCTATGGATAGTAAAAAGATTTTTGGCTTCTGAGCACAAAAAACTCCGACAATAGTAAAATCAGTGAAGTTGCAGAGTTACTCGGTACAAAAAGAAAGTTAGCTGGCAATCTCACCATAACCTTCAGCCTCATCTGAGTTTTGTTTTGTTTTTGTAGACAAGTCCATTAACCGTGAAAGCCCTATACGTTGCCACTTTCAGCTTCTAAACAATACCCGACTACGTTCTTTGAGCAAGAAGTAGAATATACATATATAATCCTATATAGCTAATACTGATTAAACACAGCACAAGAGGGGTTAATTCACACTACTGAAAAACATAATAGGACCCTACTTGCATATGTAACCACAGGAACTGTAAATAAAGAGAACTAAATGCCTTCACTGAAGCTTTGCATTTCTCTGTAAAAATGACGAGTTGGCTCAGTAAACACACTGAGTAATTCTATGTCCATGACTGCATGCCAGGGTCGACCCAATCCAAGGGATACCTGCTCAATGAGATTATGCACTGGATCTACATCCTGATCAGCCAGTTCACCATTGTCAAAATCAATGCTTTCTTCTGTGACTTCAAGCACTTTCAAATCAGAGCCACGAAGACGAGCAATGGCAATCAGGTTGTGAGCCCAAACAGTATAACCTGAAACACAAAATCACACATTATTTTACCAGATTTCAGTTTTCTTTTCCCTACCCCATTCTAGAGATTTAACATCCAACAACTAATGCCTTGTTATTTAGCTCTTCTTTCCATCTAATAATTTTCTGTTGTAACAAACAATTCTATAATCTGGTGATCAACTGACGCAATTCATTCAAAAGGCTTAAGGTGCTAAACAAATTGGCCTTTGCTATTTTATTTTGTGTACCAATCCTTCCTCCAATAATATTTCTAGGTAATTTGTGTAAAGAAATTTCTCGTCATATTTATAAATATATATTAAACAAGGGGCTCTATCAGCACATAGCATAAGAACTTTAGATTAAGCATCCTGTTATCTTAAAACTTACTGGGAGTTAACTATTTTTTTAAAAAATCAGTAATGCATATCTAAAACAAGGACAAGTAGTTTTAAACTAGGGTTCCTTTCTCCAATTATAACCTTTTTTTTTTTGCAATTGCCTCAGTCTTAATTAAATTTTTGCACTCTAATCCTTTATATGCACAGTACAGTGTGCTAAGACCAATGGGAAGTTTAATTCCTGCCTCTATGTATTGGATTTTTTTTCCTCATAAGAAAAATAGTTGATATGAGATTTTAATTGCATATCTGTATGCATACTAATGTATAGTTTTCTAAGCGATCAATGCTTTGCACCTATGGAATTGCATACCATGCACTGCCAGAAGAGATAGCCTTGTGCACCTCCACGCCAATAAAACCAATGGATCTTCAGTCCGGTTGTCGCTGAGATCTGGGAAGCCAGACATATCTATCACATCATTCATTAATATGAAGTGAGTGAGGAACTTATCATACTGCCTAGATATGAGATCAACAACAGCTCCTGAAACGCAAGTGATGTAGCTGTCAAAATGAATCCTTTCCAGTGGGATACTAGGTTTAAGAATCCTTAACATGTCATCACTCTTGATATCAAAAGCTATTATATAGACCCGAAGATTAGTGCTGTTGCGTGTCAGGGCCTTCCAATCTTCATCTTCTGGCATGTTCTCCAAGGACTTGTGCATTACAGAAATATTGTGGACCAGAAGAGATAGTCGATGCAAAGGCACATGGTTATTGTCAGCCAAAACTCTCGCCATTTCTCCTGTAAAATCACAGAAATCCAAGGCAAGCGAGCGTAGATTGATAAAGCGCTCCATTTCAATTGCTGTGATAAGAGTGGTATTACCAGGAATGTGGTTATCCAGTAAGCTCAGGTGCTCCATGGTGCTGGCAATGGGATTTGAGAGAGATGACAATGATGTGGGTGTTACAATTTGTAACATAAACCCACATGACAACCATTTCAGTTGCCTGCTGTTACCCAAAATTTCTTCAAATAGCTGCTGTATTCTGCAAGAAAAACAAGCAAAAATTTAAACCTTCCATAATCAATTATTAAACTCAGAGGCTACTTCAACAGGTAAGCCAGCAAATTATGCCACTTTCCCATGGTGCACTATCTACAGAATTGCTATCTTTAAATTTCTGAAGCACAAATTGTACTACTATTCTGGGGGAAACAATACATATAAATATATCTAAACTATTTGCAGGCTCCAAACTTAAATTCCTTGATTGCTCTATTTTAAATAAATATAACATAAAATCAATGTTTGCCTTCTGAAATTGTCCGTGCTAACTTGTTTTGTTCCCCATTCTTTTTATTCAATATATGCTCAGGTTATCTATCATATACAGCTAGAACTCCTACAGAGTGCAAAATGGTGGAGTAAATATTATACCTATCTATTCCATGCTATCAACATTTCTCATTTAAATATCCCAAAGTGAAATTATTCAATGTACCAATTGATATGAATATAAATGGGTGGATGTGACATTTTCTGATAAAACTGCACAGTCATGGAGTTTTTTTGTAATAGTTATTTCTTACATTCAAGTCATGACTGAGCATTTGTGAACTTCTGTTCATTTTGTCAGATGCATTCACCTTAAAGCTTTACAAAAACAGTAATAACAGAAACTATTATTTATATATGTAGTCATATGACAATGTTGATAAAAAATATTTATTGCGTTCTTCCCCCAAGAAGCTCAGGCCATTGTATATGATCTCCTAACATACGTTGCATTCTAATTACTCTGTGAAGAAAGTTAGGCTGACAAGTAGTGATTAGCTGAGAGAAAGCAAACAAGTCTTATGGCTGAATGGAGATCAGAATCCAACCATCTAATTAGGCTGTATCAGAATCCCCTACAAAGTTTTGTACAGGCATATAAATTAGAACTCTCTGGAAAACAGAAATGCCCTTCAAAATTAAAAAGCTAAGTTATAATGGCTGGTGTGGATCTTCCGGGCTGTGTGGCCGTGTTCTGGAAGTTTTGTTTCCTAACGTTTCCTGGCTACCAATCCTGAAAAATACAGCCTGCAAAAGGTCAACGAAGTCAGCTCAACCACCAGGACATGTGAACA